CCCGAATGGAATTATACCACCGTAGGCAGCAAGACCATTCATAGCAGCAGACATAGCATGTTCACGAACCCCATATCTGACATATCGTCCACTATATGTACCCAATCCTGTAGAATCAGCTTGAAATTCGGTGGCAGTCTTCCACCTTGTTAAGTTAGAACCTGTTAGATCTGCAGAGCCACCAATGAGTTCTGGAAGTATATCGCAGATCTTATTCAAAACATTTTCGGATAATTTTCTGGTAGCAAGGGCAGGATCGGATGGGGTATAGCGAGGTAAATGGTTTTCCCAATTGGCCGGTAATTTACTGGAGAACCTACGTTTTATTTCCGCACCCTATGATTTCAACATTATATATACAAGATTAAACAGAATTTTTTAATATATTAAACATAAACCGATTCCAATACTATTACAGTGCGTCACTAACGTGGATCATGGCTTACCAATTCATGATATTCTGAACAATACTTTTCCAAAAGTTGATTCCACTCTGCTTCTGCTTTAGCACCCCTTTCACGAAAACGTTTACCATATTCATAAACCTGAAAAATTAAAAGTATTAAAGCTTTTCTTAAAACAAAATTTTTTTTAAAAAAAATTATTTAATAGGACTAACCTCATCTGGTACATGGAAAAATTTTTCTGGATCGAAGCCAAATTTTTTTTTGATTTCTACAATATCATCATGTGGCAAGGCACTACCATGAACCTTTTCAGTGCCTTGATTTTTAGACCCAATACCGATTGTGGTCTTAATTTTGATGATAGATGGTTTATCAGTTACTTTTCTTGCTCGTTCAATAGCTTCAGCAATACCATCTAAATCATCATCACCATTAGGAAAATATTGTGTATGCCAACCATAAGCCTCAAAACGTTTTAAAACATCTTCAGTAAAGCTCAGGTTAGTGTGACCTATCGATATTAATTGTAATATTTAATAATTGATTGAGAATAAAAATTGAATTGACAACAGAATAAAAATAAAAATTTACCATCAATGGTCACATAATTGTCATCATAAAGGACAATTAAATTACCGAGCTTAAGATGGCTAAATAAAAAATTAAATCAATCAATTTGATATATTATATAATAATATAATAAATAAATATATTATATAATAATATAATAAATAAATATATAATAAGTGATAAATAATTGATTACCCAGCAAGTGATGCCGCCTCGGAGGCAACGCCTTCTTGAAGACAACCGTCACCACAAATCACATAAGTATGATTTGTGAATAAGTCATAGCATGGTTTATTAAAGGTGGCAGCACAATGAACCTGAGCCATGGCCAATCCAACGGCATTGGAAAAGCCTAAGAATGATCAAATAAATAATTAAAAAAAAATGAATTAATCAAGATTATATTATAAAAATTTTTCATTTACCTTGACCAAGAGGACCAGTAGATACTTCTATACCCTGAGTAATATGAGACTCTGGATGTCCAGGAGTTCTAGAATGTAGAATATTTTGATAAGATTACGTAAGGATCAAAATAATCATAGATCAAAAATATAACTTACTTGCTATCAGTTTGACGAAAATTTTTCAAGTCATCCATGGTGAGATCATATCCGAGTATATGAAGTAAAATGTATTGCAAAGCGCATGCATGTCCATTAGATAACACGAAACGATCTCGATTAGGCTAATATAATGAAAATAATTAAGGAATCGATTAATAAATGATTAAACACTTTTTGATTTTTTTCGAGGCGATTGTTAATTAACAATAACGATCAGGTGAAACGTATACATAGCCCAAAAAAGGACAATTCTGCAGTTTCCATGAAATTGATCAAGGGTGATTTGATTAGTTTCATAATTCTTATGATTCTTACCCATTTTGGATTTTCTGGGTTAGCGGTAATGAACCTTGAAAAAAGAATATGTGCCATTGGAGCACACCCCATAGGTGCTCCTATCATAATCAAAGAATAAGAAAAGTTTATAGAGTTATGCATTACAAGTACTAACCTCTGACAAGAGTTAGGAACAAAAACTAACCTGGATGTCCAGAGCTGGCTTTACGCACGACATCAGCAGCAAGAGTACGAATGGTATTGATAGTAATAATATCTACTGGATTGGTCATTTCTTAAAATTTTTGGTTATTGTCGTGTCTATGAAAAATTTTCGATATTTATTTGTAAACTGGTGGCTTTGTGTTTATATTTGGCTTCCATACTAAATATCATGACACGTTATGAACTTCACACCTACCAAGATAAAAAAAAAAAAAAAATGCGATACGTAGAAAGTTGGTTACTCATGATGAATCATAAGTATATATATATATCAAATTTAAACCCGGAAATCTTATCTATAAAAAATACAGGTTTTTCATTTGACGATATAATGTATGATAATTTCAGAAAGGTTTATTGGCTTTTAATCTGTCACTAAAAAGATTATCTAAATTTGTATAAATTTTAATAGCTTAATACGTACCAGTATACGTAGAAAATACATAACACACAATCAAACATCTAAAAAAGAATTGTATACTCATTATTCTTTGAAAGAATTATTAATATATTTTTAATCTAAATGGAAAAGTCAGATATTTTTAAGTGAAATGAACCCAAAAAATCAAGATTATCATATAAAATGATTAGTAATATTAGTAATAGGACTAGTTGTGTTTGTTTGGGAGATCAGTATAACACACTGAAGTGCAACACTAAATTTAAGGTTCTTAAATCTCATATAACAGATAACAGTACCGCAAAAAGTCATATGCAAGATCCCCCATATATCAGACCCACCACCCTCTTTATTTTACTAAATAATTTTTTACTAATTAGTTTCTTTTTTACTAATTAACTTTTTTGGTATATAGAATGAAAGAGACTCGGGCCTTGTATATGGCCTTTTACGGTAATTTTAAATAAGCAAATTTTTACGTGGCGTGATAATTTGTCTATTAATTACTATGCGACATTTAAACAAACCTAAACCTAGTAGGTATCTAAAATTAGTATATGTATTTTCGGTACAATCATTTGATCGTTATAGAAATTTCTTTATATCAAACATTTATAGAGAACTCGGCATAACAAATCGGTCAAAAATATATTCTTTCATTTAAAGGATTAAATAAAGGCCATTAAAATTTTGACTAAAAATATTTGGATATTGCTTTTGACAATTCTCATCTGCGCATACAGTATAAACCATAAGAATCTAAAAAAAAGTTTTTTTTTTTATAATTCATTGTCTGAGCGAAGCATAGATCAGCGTGATCACGTAAACAATGAAATCCAGATTATTATTTCAAACAATTTACTCGCATAACGATAATTAGGTACTAGGTGTGACGTTGGGATACACTATTACTATATTAGCAAAACGTGAAAAGATCGCTTATCTTCTGGTCTAATATGATATAAATTATATCCAGTGTATATATGCTATTTGTTCCAAATCTTCTAGCCCGTTATAGTGAGAATACGGTATATACGTAGAAGTTCAATATAATAGATCAATAAAGGCGACGATCGCTTGTCCACGTGAAGGTTGTTTCGTCCAGGAGTCTTATATGATTTAGAGGTCGGGCCGATAATTGATATATGTAATAAATGATAGTTCAAGGTGAAATTCCTTCTCTAATAACGATGATAATGATAAAAGACCAATTCGAGAAATCAACTCTTATATCCAAGGCGTCAAATTACGGCTTTTCTATACAACATTTCCACTTTATGGGCTACTTTTCGATTTTCGTTATCCATAATTTCAACTCTTTTTGTTATTACATCCTGTGCCAACAATACCGGTTTTCACCTGCTATGGATATATTTTATCAGATGAGACGTCTAAGCTCTATCGCGATAGAATTTTATTACATTACTGTATATGTATTACTTACTACTGTACTAATGGCTTAGTAATACTGTAATATCCCAAGTTATGTTAAATCTTTTGAGACAACCATTTAATTGCGAACCACCCTTAACGGTAATAATACTGTATAAAATTAGATATTAACGTTAAGAACAAAATGTTGCAAAAGTGTCGGGGCAATTTTCATGTTGAATTAACTGAGAATATTAAAGTATGAAGTAATTCTGTAAAATTAGTAATCGGTAACGAGATAACGATAATTATAAGAAATGGGTCAGTGCGAATTCACTTTCTTTTTGTAAAACCATAACATGTGTCTTGACCAATAAAAAAATTTTTAATTGGTTGCAAACATCTGTGTAATCGAAATTTATCATAAAAACTTTCGAATTTTATTTTTTTTATCCTGTTATTATTATATTTATTTCATTCATCTTTCAATTGCTATAATTAAATTCATATTCCTTTGTTAATGATTATTCGATTCAGCCAAAAGTTTATATTCATTGAATAGCCATGAAAGATATTAAAAGGAACCGGCGTCTAGTGCAAAGTAATGTATCTACTCATAGTTTCATATTCGAATACTCATAATCGTAATTAAATTGATTACCAAAAATTTATATTTTATAACATTGTGAAAGGGTTCGAACCTACGAACTCTAATGCTGATAGAAATAAAACAAACAAGAAAAAAAGGAAAAAAAAGAATAATTCGCAAATTGAAGAATCCCTAAATATATCTTCATTGGTAGAAAGTCTTCCAATAATCGATGCTGATCCAAATTTTCAAGCACAATCACAAACTAGAAAATCACAACTGAAACCACATCAAATTGGATTAAATGTTAAACCTGTAAAATCGCAAACAACAAGGAAAAGAATTATGTAAACAATTGTTTTTGCGTATATGCATATACTGTTAATTTATATTGTTAATTTTATATTGTTAATTTATTAATTATAATATATAATTCAAAATCTTTATTATTAGGCAAGAGGAAATTCAAAGATTTCATAAAGTAATGCAGCATTCAGCTTTTAAAGCGGATCCATTATTAACTGTAAAACAACATGTTGAGAATACCGTAGAAAAAAAAGAGAGTATTCCAAATGATAATAGTTCGATGAATGTAGATAAATCTAACGTAGATAAATGCTAATAATCTATTAATAATTTATTATTTGTCTTTTAAATTTGCTCTTTTATATCGCATCTGTGCAATCTTTACTCTTCGAAGCATATGTACCACTTCATTCAATATCAATACCTAATAAAAAAAAATGTAACTAACTATTATTTAAATATCTAATAAATAATATGTTTTACTTTATGCTTACCAGGCCTATCATTGCATTGACCAATGCAGGAAAGGAAAATATCATGGAAATAAAAAATCCACTTTCATCAAAATAATCTTCTTGTGAAAATTTTTGCCAGTGGTTATGTGCAATGGAATTTAATTGTCGTGAGAAACCA